ATTTGGGGGGTCTCCTTATTTAAGCTGAATAGTAGGAAAAAGGGTTCCCTTGCTATTAAGGGGTTACGGGGGAACCTAGAAGGCCCTAACGGCTTAGTGTTTGGGGTGTAGAGTTTAAGGGTTTGGGGTTTATACATGGGGGTGGTTAAGTTAGGTTTTTACGCGTAAGGGTTTTAATGCTGGCATTTAGGTTTAGGAGCCTCTACTAGGCTATATGATTGGGAAGGGGGACTAGGAGGATTGGTCAACCCGGCCCTTGAAATAGGGGCCAGGTTTGGTGTGGCTGTGTTTTCCCAAATAGGGTTACCGGTGATTGTACGTACGGGGTTTTTCTTGGGGGGACTGCCAATATGGATGTGTTTTAAGAACTTGTATATCCGCTTACATGCCCCACTTTTGCCAAAGTCGCGAGGACACCTCTGTTTTGAGAAACCTCCATCTGACGGTTCTTAGGCGCTTTAGGGTTTAAGGGTTTAGGCTTGGTGTTGATCATTCTGCTTTTTGTCGTCCTTATAGTCATAGCATGAGGCGAGAGGCTGTCTCCATTTCATGCCAAAGTCGCGGGCAATGTAACACGTCTTCTATGGAATATTCGACATCATGGCTGTTGCGGGGTGGTTAATATTGCGGAGAGGCGATCAGTATCCTTGTCTTCTAGTCTCTGTTGCACTTGCTTCTATAGACGCCCAGAGCGCCCAGAGTAACCTGCTCATCCTGGTGTTGCAAACCCTGAGCCCCGGGTACTGCCCCCATCTAGCAAAAGTTGGCAGGCTATGATGTGATTGATGTTTACCTGTTCCCCAAAGTAGGTAAAATGATAGCCCCAAACCGCTGTGAGTACCCCGAAAGGCAATGATTCTACATGCTTTTGTGGTTGAGGCATCTGGTATTAAACCCTAAACCCGAAACCCTTGGGTGCGGGCAGTACCCAATCTATCATGGGCACCCTTCTTAGAAGGCTGCTCTCGCGATTTCAGTTTTGGGGGGTTTAGCTCTTTGCCCCAGGCCAAGAGCAAGCAACCGCCCATGTATCTCCAAGGTGTCAAGGGCTTGCTGGGTCTCCCAGTTCTTCTTGATGCCGCGCAGCGACTAGAGGTAGAGAGTCAGTTTCCAGCTTCCGTTGAACCACCATTTGGAGGGACTTTCTTATTTTCGCAACCGTTGCAGTTATGTGCCAAGATTTGTAGTGCTTGCGCAGCCCACTCACCCAAAAAGGATCTTTCCAATGAGGACCAAAACAGACCACGAGCCAAAAACTTAGCGTGGCCCGATTGTACCGCATGGCGATATGCGCCGCTGTGAATGGCTACCTGGTTCCAAATTTAGAGTACTTTCCTAGATCAGTCATCAAGGGACCTTAGCGTAACAATTTCAATAGCAACGCTAACCCCTGAACCCTAAGCCTGAACCCTCTAACTTCACTAGTAGATTTCTTTCCCCTGGGGCTCTAACTATATAGATAATACGTACATTGGGCCCTAAACCCTATAAACAGTACCTACATGGAGCCTTAGGGTTCAGGGGAGAATCTATCTTGTTGCTTGGCTCTAGGGGTTTGGCAGGCAGTCTTCCCCTAGTTGTCCCGCATGTCCTTGAGTATTGCAGAATTGCATTGGGTATTAGGGGTGCGCTTCTGAGCATGTCTGCGCGAATTAGGCATTATTCCGTCATTGTGAGTTTCATTGAAGTTCCATCTTGGGATATTTACGACTCGTCAATCTAGCGAGCTTTCTAGAATCCGATGAAAGCATCGGATGTCCTGCTGTTGCTGAGCGCCCGGGCCCTCGCCGTGACAAGATGATTCGCGTTTGGCGGGTTTCGGGCCAACAGCTGGATGCTGTCAACATAGATGCATTACGTTCGGGCCGGGCAGCACCCAGTCCTGAGGCTGTACTAGCCCGTGTCTGGGTCCACATTAGGTATCCTTTTGTTTTTTGGGGGGTTTCTCGTATACAGTCGGAGGAAACATGTTCAGTTCTTCGCAGGGTACTATTAAGGTGAAGTGAAGTCGTACTTGACCAAGCAGCATGGCTTCCCACCGTCACTTCAACGTCTGCTTCTTCTGGCAGACGGCAGCGGACTGGATGCTCGGAATAGTTTTGTAGCAGTGCAGCAGCTTCTACGCACGCCTTGCCCAGGGTGTCCTGTGTAGTCCCCTCCCGCCAATAATCAGCCTCCCCGCGCCTAGTAATAACACTCTGCAAGGTTCAGTACCATTAGGTGCTAGACGGGGTATTATAAGATTTCTGTATGGGGCCCCAATCCAAGCATCCCCAACCATTATTTCTGGTTGGCAAAGGAGCAGTGGATCCTTATAGTCGTCCCCCCAATGATGTAGTAGTGTGCATTTCTTTGGCATTCCTTCGTTCGATGCTCATCAGAACTAAGTACCTTAGCCACAGGATGATGATGCGAAGTTGGAGGCTCCCATCGACCTGCAGCTGGTGTTGGTGGCCGTGGCGACTCACAACGAAAAAAGGTGTCACAGTAGCCAACTTCCAGAGGCTGTGCGGCTAGGCCGGGTGGAGGCTGTGCGCTTGATGCTGCAAGCCGGCTTCTTTTTAGAGTTCTGGGGAAGTCGTCGCATGACGGCATTAGCTGCAGCTTGCGCAAATGGCCTTGATCAGATGGCCCAGATGATGTTGGATGCCGAAGCAGATGTGAACTCCCGAAGCACCCAGAACAAGACTGCCTTAATGTTCGCTTCAGAGCAAGGACATGTGGAAATCATGCGGCTGCTGTTGGCTGCGGATGCAAATAAGGACTTGAAGGATGATGCAGGAAACACGGCTTTGCATCGAGCAAGCCAAGCAGGCCACTTTGACGCAGCGGCTTTGCTGTTGAACAGTGGAGCTCATCCGGAATTGAAGAACAGTGAAGGTCACACAGCATTAAGCTTAGCGTGCGATCACGCTCACGTTGAGATCGTGCAGCTACTGTTGGGCGCGGGTGCGAGCAATGGACTGTATGCTTTCGAAGACGTTGATGACAGCTCCCCTCGCCTACTGGCCGCAGCTTTGGCGGGCTCCGTGAGGATGGCAAGCTTGTTGCTGGATGCCTGGGCAAACCCAAATGCACAGAATTGCCAGGGGAAGTCAGCGCTTCTCTTAGCGTGCGAGAAGAACCATGCGCAGATTGCTCGCCTGCTCTTGAGGGCAGCTGCTTCTGTGGACATGAAGGTGCAATTTGGATGCCAGACAGCTGTCTTAGCTGCAGCTCACAGGGGCCACAGTGAGATAGTACAACTTTTGCTGGAGGCTGGCGCTGACAAGAACTCGACAGACGATGGCTCAAACACCCCTCTTATCAGTGCATCTGTATGCGGCCACGTGGAAACAGTGTCTTTGCTTCTGAACTGCCGTGTTGACATGGACTCCCACAACTTTGGCCGCCAAACTGCTTTGATAGGTGCATCGGACTATGGGTATCTGGAGATTGTCCGCTTGCTTTTGGATGCAGGTGCCAACAAAGATTTGAGGGATAGGTTCGGTAAAACGGCCTTTGATCGAGCTCAAGGCAAAGACTGGAAGGACATCATGTGCCTGGACCTTGCAGTATAACCCAGAGGGTCCATGAACCCAATAATTAGGTACTTGAGTTTTGGGTATTAGTAATTATAGTACAGGTTTTGGGTGGGTATATGATTATTGGGTACTTGGACCCTGAGGGTAACCTTTTTTCAGTTGTCGTACCCAGCAAGCAGGGGTAAGATCCCAGTTATGCAAGGCGATTACACGTAAGGACAGTTGGGAAGCCTGCAAAATCATCTCGGACCACCCTAACTCCTTTGTAGCACCCACATAAATCCTTGCGCTACCCAATTGTGATAATTCTCCGTGTGAAGTCTTGCAAAACAAACCCTATCTAACCCCTAGTATAGAGGTATGATCCCCCGACAGATCCTATGTATGCCCCGGAGTTTCTTGGGGCTTCCATTTTGAAATGGTCCCATGTGAGGCAGCTGCTGAAGGGTGAGTCTGGTTGAGCCTGAACCATGCCAGAGCGTTGCGATCACATGCGTGGAAGAACCAACCATGCATGCTTGAGGTGTAGGGCAGGTTAGGATTTTATGACCATAATAGGGATAAAAACCCAAGAAATCAAAGAGCACTNNCTCCTTTTAGAGTGCTCTTTGATTCTGTTTACCCTAGGTCAAAATCCTAACCTGGTGTAGGGCTTGGGGTTGAGGGTTCGGGGTCTCGGGTTTACTTGAAGGTTCAGTGTAGTTTGTACGCAGAGGTAATTGGTGCATAGTGGTACTCACGATTATAACTATGTCAGGGGACCTAGCGGCTCATAATTGAATTTTAAGTGCGTGCACGTATAACTGGTTAAAATTACCCTGAATCTCCAAGCATGCGGAAGAATCAGCTATGTTGCAGTTGGGTTAGAGTGAGCCATGACCATTAAACTACCCAGAAATAGGGTCCTGCACAGGTCCTGTTTGTGGGAACTGCCGAAAGAAAAGGGATCAGAATTAGAAGGCTTGCCCGCGTTTGCGTGCCTGCAGCAGGGTTTGAGAAATATGCTAGTAGACCCCAAATAATTGTAGAAAGCCTTAGATGTCATTCTGTAGGAGATTCCTTACACCCTACAGCCTACACCCCCAACCCTACACCCAAAACACCTTGATGGACCCCCTCAAATCCTCTTTTAACTGCCACATTATACCCCTTACGTCCCCAAGATGCCCCTATGTGTTTAGAGGTTATGGCTAAGGGTTGAGACGCGCCCATGTTGAAAAGCAGGCCTTGGAAGGAGCTCTATAAGTTCTGAGGTGGTTTAGGGTTTAGGGATTCAAGTCTTTCCCATTCCCTGATTTAGGGTTGCAAGCCTTTCAGATGTTTCTGCATTTAGGCCTCGGGGGCCTAGATTCGTAGACGACACCCATCAATGCGACAATCAAGAGATCTCGACGCCTTCATTGTGATATGTTCCCAATACCTCTAAATGACTTCTATGAGTATATATTGAGTAACATAGCCTATAGTGGTGCACTCTTGTAATGTATAGCCTCCCCCCCTCAAAACAGGGCCTCCAGAAAAGCAAAAATAGGCGTCTTCGAAAAGGCTCCCATGGTACTGAGGGCCCTGGGGAGGCCCTGGGGATAACTTCAAAAGGGGATGCTCTCGATTCAGTTAGGGCCCGCAGCCAAAACACATAAAAGAGTCGTGAAACAGTAGGCCAAAACTCTTTAAACGGCGGCTGAATCTCATTAAAGAGAGTCTCTTGGCAAAAGTTAGTGCAGCATTATTTGGAGTGGCGTGGGGCGTTTACTATTGGTATGACGGTCCGTTTGCTGAAATAGGGAATGGCTCTAGTGTCCATTGTTGCATTCCTTCTTTTTTTCCATTTGATTCTGCAATCTCCCAAAACCCAAAACTCGTCCCACTAATAGACCCCTGTTACCCTAAACCCTAAACATTTACAAGCTCTTTTGAAGCCTTCTGTGCCAGGGCCACCGGATTTCTCAGTGTTGGCAACGTGCTTGGAGGAGGAGGTCGAGGTGTGCCTGTATGAGTGTGTAGGTTTGATTTCAGGTTTAGGGTTTAGGGTTTAGGGTTTACCTACTGGAAAGTGTTTTCTAGTCTGTCATTGGTGAGTCATCATGAGGATACTTTTGAGCTACTGCCAATATTCGGTAGATTAGTATAGTCCCTGATATAGTCCCTGATAAGGAACCCATGTCCATTAAATTATACAGGAAAGATAGACTGTAGCTCATATGGTTTCAAGTCGAAGGAATTTAGTTCTGTCATCCATGGGTATAAATGTATACCCTATAACCCCCAAACCTAGACCCTAAACCTTCATCCCCCAACCCTAAACCAAAAACCTCACATCCTGAATTGCGATGAGGCTCCATGAGAATCTTGAAAATACACTCCCCGGTTCCCCCCGCCGGGCAAATATTGGGTTTTAGGGTTTTGAGGTTTTGGGATGAGGGTTTAGGGTTTAGGGATTACGGTTTTGGGTTTAAGGATTGGGGCTTGGGGTTTAGGGGTTAGGGTTTAGGGATTGGGGTTTACGGAGTTTTCCAAGCTAAGGCAACTGCAGGAGGGGGAGTTACCATGTAGGGGCTTTACAGACGGTTTTGATGTCTTTTATCTAAGTAGCCATGGTCCCTGGACATCCCCTGTATGCCCCTTATAAACACTAATGAAGTATGTCCACAGGGTTCCTTCGGATCCCTGTTGTGATCAATCCCCGAACACTCTTTGGCAAGTTGTAACCCAATCCCTAGACCGATAACTGTAAATCCCGCGCCTAGAAACTAACTTAGAGTAACCAAAGTACCTGATATCAAAGCGCTTTGTGCCTGTGCACCCATGTTTCCAGGTATAGGATTTTTCTTAAAGCCCGGGTCTAAACCTAAACCCTAAACCCTAAACCCTAAAATGTTTCGAGGTATAGGATTTTTCTTAAACCCTGAAACACCTTTTCGTATGGTCTGGCATGGCAAAAGGATCGGCGTGAGCCCGAGCTAACTGCGGATCTCGATGTTCAAGTTGCTCGTCTTGAATAAAGGGACTCTACTGGGAACCCCAAACCGGGAACCCCAAGAATTTAGTAGGTATATAATAGGAATATACTTACCAGGGTCCTTATATTCCATTATATTCCTGCTATATTCTTGGG